GCTCAAGCGGTAGCGCGGCCGCCTGGCATGCGTGCGGCCCGGGTTCGATCCTCAGCACCACATACCAACAAAGATGTTGTGTCCGCCGAGAACTAAAAAATAAATATTAAAAATTCTCTCTCTCTCTCCTCTCTCCTCMCTCYCTCTTTAAAAAAAAAATCACAATGTGTAAGATACCTAAGTTTTAAATAACACCCACCAATAGCTGGGAGATTGGTAGTGAGAAAGTTCTGATGGCCCTAGAAGAGGGCTGTGGGAGCACGGACGAAGGAGGAAAAGGAGGTTGGGGTGTAGAGTTTGGGGAAGAATGGATCTGGATTTCCGTGCGTACAGGATCAGAAGAGAATTTTCTTCTTTCACACTTCTTGGCGCGTGTTTTGGACCCAACGCTAGCGCTCGGGTTCTTCCCTGACCAGGAGGAGGCCAGGGGCACAGAGGGCTGGTTTTGTGGTCCAGAGCTCCTTGGGGATGAATGGAGATGAGAGTGGCCGTAGGGAGGAGAGAAAGGGTCGCTGCTATGAGCAGGCTTTGAGACTTGGATGCGGGAAGTGGGAAGTCCAGGAAGCCGCGAGGCGTCCAGCTGTGGGACCCTGCGGAGGCCTGGAGCCCGCACACGGTGCAGCCTGAGTGGGGAGTGGCTGGCGGCATGTAGACGTGTAGCCTAGCGTTGAAGGCTACGGGCACCCACAGTTGCTGGTCTCCAGAAGCCTGAGGTCGGGCGGGTTAACGTCGCAGCACCGCTGTTTCCAGCCCTTTACTGCCTCCGGACACACGACATCCCTTTCCTCGTTGCCACCGCGAGCGTGAGATCCAGGGCGGGCCCAAGGCGCGCGCACCCACACATCACCAGAGACCTTCCGATGACAAACTCCAGCCACAGTCCTTGAGGAGTTGTCTTCTCTGCTTCAGTCATAAAAAAAAAAAAAAAAAAAACACATCACCAGAGACCTTCCGATGACAAACTCCAGCCACAGTCCTTGAGGAGTTGTCTTCTCTGCTTCAGTCATAAAAAAAAAAAAAAAAAAAAAAGGAATTGGACAAGGACGTCTTGAGAGGTGCGGCCCAGGGGCCACAGGAATTGCCCGAGGCCTGAACTTTCGGGTCATTTCTTGCGATCTGTGCTGGGATGTAGGCGCTTCTTGGGGACCACTGGGTTCCAGAAAACAACCCAACGGAGGTGTGCGTAGGATCCCAGGTTAGCGCTGCACTGAGGAAAGGCTTTGACACACCCTCTAGCCGAGCTTTGAAATCCGAGCCCGCGCTGCGCGCTGCTTTTGGGCGCCTGGGGACGCGCTGCAGCGGTCCCCAAAGGGCCTCGGTCACTTTCCGCACAGTGCTCTGGGCACCTTTCCTGTTTTGTAAATCGAACTTATGAATTCAAGGGCACCAAGACCTGTTACTGTTGCTTTTACAGCGTCTACCGAAAAGAGCTAGAAGGAGAAATGTGGACGGGATCTGGGGCCACCTTCTCTAGTAGCTGCCCGGGTACTAAGAAGCGGATCTCTGTTCTCCTTTCCTGAGGCCAACACCAGCAGCGAGGCGGCAGCCTCTATTTGGAACCTGGCCCGCCGCCCAGGCGCAACTCCGGACCGGGAGCCTGCGGACAGTTCTCCAGATCTACCAGGACCGGTCCTTGAAGCTCCAACAGAAGGGTTAAGGATTCGCATTCGTTAATCTAGAGAYCCATTTCCCAAAAGGGAAAGAGATTTTTTTTTTTTTCCTAGACAATTTTCGGGGACGGCTAAAGTGAGTTCTGGAGGCTAGGAATGAAAATTTGAAACGGTGACTTGTTATAATAGGAGACATCTTCCAGTCTTCCATATAACTAAATTCAGACATAAAAGAAAAATTTTACAATCCTAGGCTCTAAAGTTTACCAGGATATAAATAACAGCTCAATACCATCATGCGGCTTCACTCTTCGGTGTACATTCCAAAATTGTCTACACAGCTCTACATGAATACAAGAGAGATTGTTTTTGCAATTAAAAAAAATGCAGTTCAAAAATTAATGTAATTAAAATTAYGTGTTATTTTGTTTATACAGGAGTAAATGTTGCCGTTATTTGTGTGTTAGATACTTTAGGTGCATTGTACATTATTTCAGTAATCTATAGAGCTATTTGCCAGGTAGAAATCATTAGCCCTATTTTAATGTAGTTAATGAAACTCAACTTTGAGAGGTTTAGATAACTTACAAAGTCTCAAAGCTGATGTTTGTTAAAGCAGTATTCAAAGACTTYTCCAATTCCAATGCAACTTTCAGAAATCCAAATCAGCCCCCAAGTCCACCATCAGCCTGGGAAGGGTTGGAGGGGTGTTAATATGACTGTTTTGTTTTAACCCCCGAGGTGGTTTTACCTATTAACCTGTGCCTGTGTGAGATTTTGAAGGGACCTTAGAACWCAATATGGTCTGCTTAGGGAGGGCTTTTAATCATGCTTTGACAGAACTTCTCTGCCAAGCTCTGGTGCCCCTTTTTTTTATAGCACCATATTGATTCTCAAAGGCAATAAATCTAAGAGAAGGGGCAGTGTGCCCCTGATAATAATGCTACAGCATATGTTTTACTGCTGAGGTTTCAACACCAACAAGATACATAGCTTAGGGACGTCCAAATGGCTTACCTATTGCACCCAGATTTGTTTTCGAGTAGCCTTTTCAATTCCCCTGGTSTGCTGTCTGCTTCCTCCAACTCATTTAGCCTTTCTTGCTTCCTGTATTACTTTTAGTAGGATGAAAAGTTGGAATTGCCTGTCCACAAGAACTGGGCTAAAACTGTACAAGCACTCAGAAAGGAGGTGGAAAATGATTCCTGTCCATTCACCTTTCCCGTTGCTCCATCAGTTTTTCTGAAAATGATATAATATATATATATATATAAATAATATTTATATATATGATATATATAAATAATATTTATATATATGATATATATATAAATAATATCTCGTGATATTATTCAAACTATAGTCTGAGCCATTAAGATACATAAGACCCGGCTTTTCCTCTGTGTAGAAATGCAAGGGTGATATTTGATTTTTTTTTTTCTTTTAAATGGAGGTATAATTCTACACCAAGCTTTTGAAAACAAAACCTAGCCAATGAAATTTGCTAAATCCTCTTAAAATGTGCACCAAGGTCTAGCATTTGAAGCAAAAAACGAAGCCAGTATATATGCCTTACATTCATAAGAAAATGTCACCTTGAAAAAGTGCTGTATTTGGGAGGGTGTGTGAGGTGATTTTTTTTTTTTTTTTTTTTTTTTTAGGCAGTGTCTCACGAAATTTCCCAGGTTGGTCTTGAAATTGTGATCCTCCCACCTCAGCATCCACAGCACTAGGATTGCAGGTGTGCACTACCATGCCCAGTTTGGGGTGGTAACTTTAATAACCAAAGGATCTGGACTGTGTCTGGGTTTTCCAAACCAGCAAAATATTCAAGAATGGAAACTGACCCTCAACATGCAAGGAGCAGCTTAGCCACAGCTGTAGAGCCACAGTACGATCATGACCCCTGCKTGGAGTGTGGATCCTGCACAGCTATCTCTCATTGGCTGCAGGGAAGACTAGTCGCCTCTCCACTTGGGACCTTCTTTTTCTCAAAAGCAAACAGTGATTAACCTAGATAAAGGTGTAAACCCCTTCCAGTACCAAAGTCCATAGTTTTCCTAGTTTCTTCCAGTTTTACATAGACGTTTTGCCCTTGAGTCAAGATATCATTGTACATATTTTTGTCACTTTCATGGGGAACTTTGTTTAAAGTATTGATATAAAATGACCAAGACAGACTTGAATCAGAACTCTTGCATTTGACATCATTTTGTTTACATAAATGTTTTCAACAACTATTTCGACTTTCGGTTTTCCCCCATATCTTTATTTCAGGAGGTGGGTGGTGTAGTGGGAAAAGGGAGCTGTTTTTCTTTTCTCCTTTTCTTTTAAGACCTATCAAGTGGCTCCTAATCGCCAGGCCGACTGGCTGGAAAGGAGGGCAAATATTTACATGTATAGTTTGAATGTGTGTGTCAGCCTGAGTTTACACGACTCCAAGTGAAGCGGATTACCCTGCGAATTCGGAGAATTTGAGTAATTCAGGCTGAGCAAGGCCAACAGGACGCCCCCCCCCCCACGAGGCTGTGGGAAGTTCTGGCCGCAACCGAGTTTGCAAGGGCAGACGGTTCCGTGTTCTCCAAGGCTGGGCGTTGTAAAGGTCACACTCTCCTACTGAGTGTCGCGTGGTCCCCGCAGGGCTCCACGCCATGACCCTCGCCTTCCCTTAGGCCGCRGCCTCACTTTCCACAGTTCCTCTTGGAAATAGAAACCCCAGGCCAGAGGCGCACTAATGCGCAGCAGAAGCCATGGTTTTGAGTGCAGCATCCTTTGCCAAATGCAGCTCTCCCTCAACGTTTTTATTTCAGGGCTGTATCTCTTGGATCCCACTGTCAGGAGACCGAATTGGGGGACAGTTGAGTGCGAGTCCGGGACCTGGCCGATTGGCGCCAGTTCAGCGGCTCCGGTTTCCATTGTACTTAGCGCTGCCCAACTTTCTTTTGGAACTTTGAGAGCAGGTAAGAAAAAGAATGGAAGAGGCGAGAATTCTCATCCCAGGTCCTAGGCCTTGATAAAAATGCCCTCTTCAGGCAGCACGCACCGCTCTCCCGCCTCAGAACTGTGGGGTTGGAAGTGAGTGTCTGCTGCAGCTGTGTCACCCTGATGGCTGTATCTCTTGTAGTGAACCAGTGCTGGATTGTGGGCCAGCGAGAGCGCACAGCCAAGTGGGCGCCGCGCSCCAGGCGTGCCCACCCCGCCCGGCCTGCGGCCACGCCCCCCGGCAGCAGAATCAGGAAACCGTGACGTGAAACAGCGCTGACTGGCTGCGGGCCTACGGGATAGCCACCGCCAGCAAATTAAGGCACAGGGCAGCGAGTGCCCAGGCGCAGTGTCCGTCGCGCCTCGCTGGGCTCTGCACGCCTGAGCTCCGGCTCCCAGGTGCTGGCGCCTCGCAGCGCCATACGGCGGGTCGCCACCTCCCGACAGTCTGGGACACTCTGGCTGTACCCAGCAGGGGCAGGGAGAAAGAAGCAGAGGGAGTGTCGCTGACCCCTGGGCTTTTCCTCTGCTGGTTGTTCGTTTCCGGCTTCGGGGAGTCTGTGCGCCTGCAGCGCTCCAGGCAGTTTGCGCACCTTCTTAAGTCTGTCACTGATTCCCTTCCTCTTCCGCTGGTTCGAAGTCTCTGAGGCGCTAGGGCTTTGCGGTGGGAGAGAGGAAAGGCCAGCGTGGCACTCTGGGGAGTTTAGAGCTGTTTCTTCTGAAGTCCCAGGCTCCGCTGTGACTGCACTCGGAAACTTTGAGCTGTTTCGTGTCTTTGTCTTCTTTGGGGAAACTGGACGGCAGTTCGGTAGGCCCTGTCCCTGGCCAGGACCGCGCGCCGGGGACCATGGAGTTCACGGCGTCGCCCAAGCCCCAGCTGTCCTCCCGGGCCAACGCTTTCTCTATCGCCGCGCTCATGTCGAGTGGTGGCTCCAAGGAGAAGGAGGCTGCAGAGAACACCATCAAACCCCTGGGTAAGTTGGATTGCCTGGCTGTCCGTGCAGACAGGGGAGGCAAGTCCTGCGCATCCATCAGTTCCCTGGACATTTTGCGCGGCTCGCGAGTCTGGCGGCAAGTGTGGCCGTTTTTCCTTTCTCGTGGCGCTTCTGACCGCCCCCACCCCCGGCCCTGTGCCTACATCTCAAGAGGGACATTTTTTTTTTCTTTCTTCGCTCACATTTTCTTTGGAGGTTTCACACTATGTTGAACACCAGGGGTATGGCATCTCCAGATTGAGTTAGTAGTCGCTCTCCTTATTTATCTAGAATCCCGATGTCAAATCGGATGTATGGCATATGAGTGTTAGGTTTGTTGAGATAAAAATATTCAAGGACAAATAATAATAAAGCCCCCGTTTAAGACCAMAGGACTTAGGATGCGTGTAACACCTACTTGTGCATTAGAAACCAAGGGGAAGCCAAGCGGTTTCACAAGAAACCATTTTGGTTTTGTGTCTGCTCTGATGTGAGTAGACCGAACGGAGCCGGCTCCTTAACACCACTGTGAAGTGCTGTAGATTAAGCCGCTTCTCCCCGCATGAACCAKTTTCTTTACAGAAGGACCAGACTTAATCAGTAAAACTCATTTTGTAACTGTCATTTTCACTTGAGGTTGGCAAAAACATTAACCAGTAACCATTTCCCAGATTCCTCAACTTTTAGTTATACTGTTTATTTAACAACCTTTGCCATTTATAGTAGTCACTAGGCACAGAGTAAAGGGAGAGTAGGGTTTATGTTCTCCTTAACACAAGTGAGTTGTGTGGAAAAGAAACTACTCAAGATAAGTGTTTTAAAATCCCTTTACAATCGAGGGGGAAAGAAGTGTTCTCATCATCCACTCTCGTGTTCTCAGTAAATAATGAACACATATCCTGATCACTTCATATACCTAATATAGTGAAAGTAATCAAATAGCAAACTTAAGGTAATTTTTTTTTGCATTTTAACCAGCCCCAATATTTCCTTTATCCTCCCTATCCTCCTCAAATCTTCAAAAACAATCTTAATATCATAYCATATTCAAAGTAATCTTAATGTGAAAGAGAAGAATTAGAGATGAAAATCAAGGGACTTGGGCAGAGAGGCCAGAGAACTAAAATCCCTAGCTATAGGAACCAAGGAAAATGAAACAGAAGATCTTAAGGAAAGACCATTTCAAAAAGTCTCTCCTCTGAGGTCTTCACTCTCYTTTTCTGGTTCTTTCCACCTACTTCCATCTGAATAAAAACCTATTGAAGAAATGGGAGCAACCAGTGAAACCTCAGTTATTTAGAAGAAACCTTAAGGACCAATTTCAAAATCATATTTGTGGGACTTCTCACCATTATTCACCTCTAATTGGGGAGGGGGCTTAATTTTTTATGAAATCCCCATCTCATTTTGGTACCTAGCAGGAAAAGAGAATTTCAGGTTAAAATTCTTAACAGATGTGTGGACAGTGAACTGGGGGACATGCTGGCTCCAGTTGCACTGTCATTTCTATGTTACTTCTTTATTGTTCTGAGAAAAACCACCTTCTCTCTGAATTCCTAAATTCCGAACTATAAAACCATTCCCAGCCCTCATGAACCCCTTCAACGGACCCCTCCCAGACACCCTCAAAATGAGCATTCTCAGACTGGAGTTCTGGCTCAGTGGTAGAGTGTTTGCCTGGAATGTGTGTTGATTCTCAACACCGAATATAAATAAATAAAATAAAAGATTCATTGACAGATAGATAGATAATGAACATTCTCTTAGCTTTTGAGAAGAGCTCAGCAATAAGTGGTAGATGTTCTCTCTTGCATTGGCCAGTTCAACAGAGCATAGTTAATGACTGTAAGCCAAGGACTCCTACAAGAGAACGCCCAAAGGTTCTGTTATGAGACAGCGTGGTACCTTTATGGATGTGGTATATGTGGTGTGATGGGGGCACAATGTCCTGTGTTCACCCTTTAAACATATTAAGTCTATTTAAAAGAACCAGTAGAGCTTTTAAATTAAGAATAATCAAATCAATTGTCATGCTGATTGTTTCAAGTTCAGAGAAAGAGAACAAGACCATCTCCAAATTTTATCTTCTGATATTTTGAGAAACACATTCACACGATGTCTTTATAGGGATTTAAGTAGTAACCTTAACATAGCTCTTATTTTCCAAAAACTAAAAGAGACAAAATTCCTAAGCCTTAGATTTAATCAGTACATTAGGACTGGGAAGCAAAAGACAAGAATAATATTAAGGTTACTCCTTAATCCTATAAAGCCTCATGTGAATGTGTTTCTCAAAATATCAAGAGAAGATAAAATTTGGGGATGGCCTTGTTCCCTTCCTCCGAATTTGAAACAATAAGCATGGCAGTTATTTGATTATTCTTAATTTAAAACACTCCCATGAGTTGGATGATCATTGTATGAGAAGAAAATGCAATCTTCTCTATATCCTGTTTGTCCCACATAAAAAAGTGTGAGAATTAACAAGGGATTTTATGATATAAACATGTCATACGTGCCCATCTACCTTGTACACCTGTGCATACATACATTTAGAACTTGTTCCCAGTCCTTGAGAGTACTTAGAATAGAGTTGCTTGGAGGTCAGCTTCACATTGTAGATTCAAGTAGTTTCTTTTTTAAGGGATGGAAGATAATTGGGACAATTACAAAAGTCCCTCTGTATTCCATCAAAGTGACTGATGTAGTCCCAGGCCCTTATCAGCCTGGCAGGAAAATGTTCGGTTCATCCAGTGGTATTCYGTCCTTGGACTTTTAATTCCATCTTCCTACTTTAATTCCCTGCTAACCTGGATTTGAGGTGCCTTTTCTCAATTCCCGAATCTTTTTGAGGGAAAAAAAATCACATACTTTACCTCTCCAGGAATTTTCCAAGTCTAATCCAAAAATGGCCTAAAGAGTATGCTACGTGCTGTAACAAGCTATACGCTGGCATCGTTCATAAGATCTCAGGCTGGAAGGGAGATTATAAAATTTTATAATCTAATGTTGTCATCTCAAAGTCTAGAAAACTGAGAGCCAGACATAGAAATGGAGTTGTTTTTATTATTATTAATCACATCCTCACCTTTCTCCCAATCCCCTGTCCTCCTTTTATGGAGAGAAGGCTCCAGGGGAGAAGGGAAAATTCCTCTCAACCTGGTAAAGGTACYGATTGATATCTTCACTCCCTTGATTTCCAGGAAGAAAAGTGTCCTGGTTGTCAGAGACAAGACTGGTGCCACATCCCACAAGCTACAAAGTCTACATTTTAGCCTGCATGATCACTACCTTTCYCTTTCTTCACTCCTCACATTTTCCCCCCAAATGGGTTTCAGTAATATTGGTAATAAGTAATGGTTCTAGAACTCACTCATTTGGTGTAGTAAGCAAGCAATGGGTGTGTTACTCTATGGAAATGTCAGGTACATTTTGTACAGTGGGATATCTTCCCTAGCATCCTGGAGTTTCTGMGTTTAACTTTCCCAGAGTCACATCCAGGTGTGTATTTGGGATATGCCGATCTTCCTGAAAATTTCCGTGTTTAACAGTGTCATTCTCTATTCTCTTTGCCTCCAGAGCAATTCGTAGAGAAGTCATCCTGCTCCCAGCCGCTGGGCGAGCTGACCAGCCTGGATGCTCACGGAGAGTTCAGTGGAGGCAGTAGCAGCCCATCCTCCTCCTCTCTGTGCACTGAGCCGCTAATCCCCACCACCCCCATCATCCCCAGCGAGGAAATGGCCAAAATTGCCTGCAGCCTGGAAACCAAGGAGCTCTGGGACAAATTCCACGAACTGGGCACTGAAATGATTATCACCAAGTCGGGCAGGTAGCTGGGCCTTGGCGGGTGGGAATGAGGAAACTGTAGAGACCACGGAGGAAGTGCTCAGGGGCTTCCAGGAATTGGATTTTAGAGCTAGCTGGTCCTGGAGCAGGGAAGCAGCTTTGCTGAAAGGCAGCTTCCTTCAGCCAACTGGCATTTAGAAAGAGCTGCGGATGTTTGCATTCTCAGTGTCTGGCCATGGGAAGCCCCACTAGGGCCTTGATGAGGATATTACAGAGACTGACAATGGGCTTCCCCAAAGGACACCGTGGGTGGAGTCTTCTTGTCCCTTCACTCCCGGAGGGTTTGGAGCTCCGGGTCACGCCCGAATGCGGAATGGGCGGCTGGGCACTGCAAGGGAGGGAGCAGCTTCCCTATTAGCATCCACAACTTGCAAAAGCCGCCAACTTCCATTAACTACTATTTTTTATTTTTTTATTTTATTTTTTTTAACTACTATTTTTTAAAATATTTATTTCAAAATAAAATTTGGAGGAAAAAATTTCCTGTCTCAAGGATCCCTGGTACGGTGGGCCCTTTGGCTCTGAAGCTGGGCAGACTCCAGCCGGCAGGAAGTCTTGGGGGGTAGGGCGTGGGCAGCTGGAACCCGGCTAAAGCTCCTRGGTCCGTGCCCCTGGGCAATACCCGCAGTACCGTAGTGTCTAGGGAAACCCGTTCTTCGATTCCCTGCTGTTAGGGTTTGTTTGTTTTTATCATCTTTTTCCTGGGTAGCACGTGCAAAKTGGATCAGCTCTGGTGACTTTGGGTCCTCTCTAGCTGAATTTTCTCTAATCACACAGCTTCCGATGTTGGTGTGTGGGGGTAGGGACCATAAAMCTTTCACCTTAGCAATGAGGATTTGCGTAAAGGTGAAACTAAAACCGTGCACGTTTTAGGAGAAGTTGTGTCTCTGTATTCACATCACTGTGGCTTTACAAGAAAAAAAAAAAAAAGGTGGTTTGGGAAGGGATGCACTTGGATGAAAGTCCATCCTTTCCCTCCCCTCCCAATTTGAGTCAGTTCAGTTCAAGTCATTTCACTAGGAAGTGTGAACAGGGCCGGTTCTTTGTCTCTCTTTGTCAGGAGGATGTTTCCAACCATCCGGGTGTCCTTTTCGGGCGTGGATCCTGAGGCCAAGTACATAGTCTTGATGGACATCGTCCCTGTGGACAACAAGAGGTATCGCTATGCCTACCACCGGTCCTCCTGGCTGGTGGCCGGCAAGGCTGACCCRCCGCTGCCAGCCAGGTTCGTGCAGTTTCGTGCTTCTGGATTTTTCTGTGGAGCAAAATGTTATTAACCCCTCTGGCAGAATGTCTCTGGCTTATGTGAATTTTAAGCAGGTCTGTTTTTRAAGCAGGGTTCTGGCATGAAGACTTTTCAAACCTGGAAACTCCAGGGTTGAATGGAAAATATWTTAGTCTCTAAGAAAGACAGTTTACACATAGAGAAAACACTGATTTTGTTTTTCTTGTATTTCAAAGTTTTCCTTAAATTTGAATATTTATGAGAAATGTAAACCATCTGATTTATGTTTGTGTATAAAATTTCTAATTGATACTTAAAACCCAACTAGGTAAAAATACTAATGAAATGGTTGCCCTACATTTTTTTTTCAGAACAATGTATTTTAGCAGAGGGTTTGCTTATTGTGAACATTTTTTAGTAATTGGTTATATTTGCACATAATAAACATCATTTTGGTAAAATTTGGTTGTTTTTGACAGATAAAGGGTTCAGAGATTTCAAGAAAATCAAACCCTTTTCCCCCCTCCACAGTTTTAGTGGATCAATGTAATTCAACAAGTTAAGACTCTTTTACATGAAACATTACTCAGTTAATGTATTAGGGATCATATGTATTTATTCATGTGGTAGTCATTGCTAATAATGTTTTTCTAGGAATATACTGTTTAAAAGAATTCCACACACACTTTTATTATTGTTGATATTTCACTCAAATGACCATTCTGGGGGTGGGGGGGGAGCATGTATTTGTGAATAGTAATAGCTAAAGCTACAAAATCTAACCTCATAATTTAATATAAAACAGAATATTAGTTGACTTTGTATTTTGTGTTTAACCTCATAACTTTTAAATTGTTTCATGACTATTTTTTTTGTGTGTGTGTATGTGGGTGGGTAACTGAAAAGTGGTGTCAGATAAGAATTTACTTAAATGTGCAGATTTTGAAGTTATGACTGATATATATCTAGTATGGAGTTCTTGTCAAGACACACAATTTACACATTCAGCTCAGATATTCTACTTAATCAATAGTTGGTCACATTACTGAGTTTATTGTGTGCTAAATCCACTAGAGAAAGGATTATTAGCACCCTTTCAGTTTTCTTAGAGTAGGAAGGTCATCTTCCCAACCTTTCTAAATCAATATATTAAATAACACTTAGGACTAAGACATGTCTTTAAAATTACAACTCATATTTTTAGTTGAGCAAGATGTTACAGTTTACAATATAAAATTAATGGAACTAGTATTCTCTATTATTTAATAGTCAATTTACTGTTATTCTTGAGCTTCCTTCTGAACTTTTTGATATGTTTTAAATGAGAGAGAGAGAGAGAGAGAGAGAGAGAGAGATTTTAGCCGATTCTTAACTGTTTTTTATAAACACTCTTTTTTGTTTTCCCAGTCTTCTAAGAAGTTAATCGCTTTTATTTAACATGCATTTTCTTCCTATCTGAAGGTATGGGGAAATGGTGCAGGCCAGCAGGACTTTGGAAATATGACATGTCTTGTTTATGTTACTAATCTGTTCTGGTTAGAGAAAGAAAGCTTGTACCAATACACTATCTTAACTGAAGCATGTTTAAGCTATTGCTGGAATTTTAAGTCCTCCTTGGGAGGGGTCGAGAGGGGAGGGGCTTCCTGTAAGAGTTTTCATTTATTCTACTTCAGTTTATTTATGTTGATATTAGATAAAACTGTGTAGTGGATTATGGGATATAAATATTCTGGATAATTTAAGCAACTATTCTTTATTATCATTGTCAAAAGAAATAGTTTGCTGTATTCTTTACCTCCCCAAAGAAAAGGGGRAAAATTGGGGGAAACGAGAATTTTTGTACTGATAGAAAAAATTTTTTGTGGTTCTAGGTCTTTGAAGCACTATATTTTAAAGTCTGTTGGTCTGTCATTTTTAATCAGAAGAAATAATGCCTGACAATATTATTTGATAGTTATGGGCAAGACATTTTCATATAGGACATTCTTTTTTTAAAAAAATGATTAGTATGTAAATGGGTTACTATTTACTCTTAATGTGATTATGTACAGTGACTGTGATACTTTAAAGAAGAAAATTTCATCAACTTCTTGGATTTTCAGTAATTTTGTACTTTTGGGGGAGGGTAGGAAAGGATACTGATCAATAAAACAACTGCACTTATAAAATTACAGAGGGATGAATTTGAAAAGCTATTATTTCTGTGCTATAAAAAATGAATACTTTAATGAAAGCAGTCATGAGCACCCGTCCTAAGAACAGTGAAACAAACACCTGAAGGCTTTAAAGTTCTTCCATGAATCTGGCAAACATCTTAAATGCTGTTAGCCTTTTCTTTGCTTTGCTCTGAGTGGGCTTTGTGAGTTCCAGCCTGAGTTCAATAGTCTTCTATTCTTAGTCTTCTTGACAAACCATGGCATAACCTTCTTGTCCTGTATACAAACGTTACAAGGAAATGTTTTTGTGACTTCTTTCTCTTGCTTTGCCCAACCAAAATATTAATGTTTAATTATATTTATAAGACTCCTAAATGGAACCTCCATATAAATAGCCTGTTTCATGGATAAAGGAATTTATCAGGGTTGGGGTGTAGCTCAGTGGTAGAACTCATTCTTTGCATGTARAGGCTCTGAGTTCAATCCCTCAGATCTTATTTTTTTCTGTGAAAACCAGAATTTCACCTTCCCCCTCAATAGTTCTTTAATTTCCCTCTGATTTCAGAAAGGTTTTGTCAAGAAAACATCAGGATAGAGATTTACAAAGAGTTGTACTTGAGGTAATGGTTGCAGGTATAACAAATGGCCTATGTTTTGCTGTGAGTAAAAGATTGCCTTGCATATAGGAATGGATCAATAAATGATAGATTTTTTTCCATCAAAACTTTTATTTATTTGCTTAAGCTGTTTTACAAATGAATTGATTGAATAATTCAAAGCTTATGCAGCTTGTTTAAACTCTTATTTAGTGAGCATATAAACAGATGATGATGAAAGTAGGTGACAGTGTTTAAAGTACCAGAAGGCTCACCAGAATGTCAGCTCTGATAGAATTCTCTATGTTCCTGTATGAAAATTCCCTTTTTTATGTTTGCAAAGAACATGGACTTTAAACCAAGTCACTATTAAGTTTAAATAAATGGATTCTCTAAAATTGTTGCCTCTTTTAAATTCTTTGTWTACCTTGCTTTTTAATGATACTTGTAATAGGAACTCATGTAAATAGTCTTTTTCTTCTGAAAATACCTACAAGATTTTGTGTTTGGTAGTTGCAGACTGGTAGCTGACTAGATAGATAGAAAAAAACAACCCATCTTTTAAAAGTGGCTTGCTTGGCACATATAGAATACTTATTATTACCCTTTTTAGATCATTGGTGCATGAAACATAAGATATGTTTTTGAATTATTTTAGCATTATTTATATTAATAAAATGGAAGCATATGGAACAAACAAAATGAGCCACTTATATAAGGTTTATGTGTTCCTGTAGGCACAGAACATTGTACAACTCACAGAGACAGATTTTTAAAAAAGTGTCTCAATGAAGTTCTCTCATGATTTTAGGCTCTACGTGCACCCAGACTCTCCCTTTACTGGCGAGCAGTTACTCAAACAGATGGTRTCTTTTGAAAAGGTGAAACTTACCAACAACGAGTTGGATCAACATGGACACGTAAGTAGGGTGCCTTGGACTGTGCTGGTACTTTGGATGGAATGGAGAAGTCATACAAAYGTCCTCTCAGTCCTTTCCTCCCTTCCCACTCCACTTTCTGATTTTCATCTCTGAGTCATTCTATGAGAACATTCATGTGTTCTTCAGGGAACCTTGACAGATTTTGTCAAGAAGCCATTGCACAGATGTCATGTGCCACTGCCCTGGGAGAAGGTCAGGGATCTTCTGTGCCATGSGTTTCCCAACACTTCTGCAACTGCCTTATCACCTGAGTCGACTACACATAGGAGGCTATTGCAAACTGGTCTTGGCTTAAGCATCTAATTTCTGTTAGTAGTGTTTCAAAAATTCAGCATAAAGGAAACGGGACTAAGACTTTCCTTGAGTGTGTTCTATAGAACACATTCATGTAAGATGCAATAGAATAAAAGGGCTTTTTTTTTTTTTAATAAGTTTGCAATGCTGTTTACTTATTTTGTATCCCCTTTTGGAGAGTTTTGTAAATGTTAAAACAGAGAATCCTTGCAATTAAAAATGAAACATTTATTTTGTGTCAATAGAGAGTTCATTAAAATATGGAAAAAAGTGAAATTATAACCATAAGCTCTTATCAGTAGATAATAGAACAAATAGTCATTGATGAAGACCCTTACACATTTGCCAGAATTCCTTTTTAAGGCATTATCTGTGATGTGATTGAGTGCTTCTATATGGCAATTTACATAATACATTTGGATTCAGTTTTTATATTAAGAAACTTTAGACAAACTTGCAAACTTCTTTTCAATAAGAAATTACTATCTTTTTCTTTCTTTTACCTCTTTACTAAGTAAGGATTTTGTAACTTAAGGTTTTAGTTTTTATTGAATCTGTGCCAATTAGAGGAAGTATTTCAAAATCTTTTTCAAAGATGTCTTTAAATAGGTAATTAAATAGAGAGTTCTAGATACAGTTTCAAATGACTGGATTGAACCTGGAACCAACTAAATGGCTTTTGGTGTTACCACCATTCATTTGCCCCCAGGCCTCCTTTATAACATCAGTCAGGGTGACCAGGTTAACTTCTGTCTATTGAGATATTGAAAGTAGGTTAGTAAGCTTTTGTTGTTTTAAGTACTGACCTTTATGGATGTTGACATAACTTCCTTTCAGTATTTTATTTAATAATAATAATAATAATAATAATAATTTTGATGTGTCCATTCATGGATTTTTTTCAGGTTAAAATTTATGAAGCATCCGAATGATTTTTTTTGTAGGTCAGTGATAATTTTTAAAATTTATTGGGCACCAACTGAAATCTTTGCAAGGAGAAAGGAAATTCTTTTATGGGTCTGGTATTTTCCCTATGTGAAGCTTTTAGGAGGATTATTTGGGTCATTCCAGAAAGACCTGACTGTTCATCTTGAGATAAACTGTCCAGAATTTAAATGTCTTTCTTGTTCATGACAGCTTCATGGTGGGACTAGCACTACACTGGATTTCAGGAGCTCTGGGTTTTAACTTSTTCATGTCAAGATCAGACCTTGACAAACTGTTGCTCAGATCCATTAAAAATTTCATGATTCAATATAACCCTTGGTCACCAGAATGAGTGTGTTCTGAAAATTTTAACCAAAGATTTTTTTGACAATGTGTTGTGGCTTTTTTGAACATGTTCTGAAGCCCTAATACAGATGCAGTTTTAGCCTTATAACAGGGCAATTTCCTATCCCCAGAAATTTATTTTTGCAATGAAGCAGAGTCCATATTTCTTTTAATGTTTCTTAGCTCCAGGAGGCATGGTGACTAGAGTCAGAAACTCTGGGGTCTCAGACTGTTTGGTGCATGTTCCCAAATGAAATTGGCCTTGGGGGCAATTGGAAGTAGGGGAAAGGGTGTTATTTAAAGCTTACTATATTTTTTTTGTCATTTCAATATGCATATGTATGAGGGGGTGTGTAAATGATTTGAAAATTATTCTTAGTAGAACATATAAGGAATGTTGAAGTTTTTATTTTTTCTTATATCAGTGTTGAAGACAAATGCTTCCTTTGGTTGCTTCAAATGTATTCCAGTTTTGTGATTAGCATCAGTAGCATGAACTTCCAGGGATAAATGTATTATGCAAAGAGATGACATTATTTTTTAAAGTTTTATTTAATTCATTTGAAGTTCTAATTTGTTTCAGTTATTCCTATTCTAGTTTAGAGTCATAAAAAGGTGACATATGCAAAATTCAATCCCTTCCCTTCCTGTTACTTTACTTTGGCTTAAAAGTTAAAGAGACTGACAGAGATTGATTATATTGTTCCCTCCATATCAGTGGGGGTTGGTTCTCAGACCCTCCCCCCCCCCGTGGAAAGCAAAATTCATGGATGTTCAARAACCTTTATATAAACTTATGCAGACTTTGCATATAACTTCCTATATACTTCAGATAACCAGTAGCTTATTTATAATACCTAATACAGTGTACAGTTGTTATACTATGTTGTTTAGGAAATAATGACAAGAAAAAARTCTATATGTTCTATATATGCAATTAAAAAATTTTTTTGGATTTGAAGTTGATTTAATCTGGAGATGCAGATTGTATATAAATTTATCCCACAATATCTAGCACTTAATTCTGCTAAAGCCTATTGGCAGAAACACTCACCACACCCATGTTAGCAGGAGAGCAAGGGAGTCATCAGCTGCAGTATCAGTAGCAGCAACCAACACTGAGTGCCTGCGTGCGGCCCTGCCACACTGTTTATCAAGTGAGTGTGAGAGCCAGTCTCTCTGCTAGGGGCTTAGAGGAAAGCAAATAATGTAAGCCCCTCAGCCCAGGAAAGAGACCCAGTTTTAGACATTTAGGTAGCTATCTGGGTGATAGTGGGAAGAGGTGAGAAATTTTTATATCTAAAAATGTGTTTTGTTGCTTACATTTCATAATGAAAATGTTTTATATTTTATTTAAAAGATAAATGAAAGATGTTGTCTTTTAGTTGCCTTGTAACAGGGTATCTTTATTATTTCTAAGAATTTGTCAGCTTTAATCAGCTATAGAATGGAAGATGGCCACCACTGTGATTCAGATTTAGCTTTCTTTCTTTTATCTTTTGGCTGGGCAGATACTAAGAAATTGAACCCAGGAGTACTCTACCACTGAGCTATATCCCCAGCCCTTTTTATTTTTATTTTGAAACAGGGTCTTGCTAAGTTGCCCAGGGTAGCCTTGAACTTACAGTTCTCCTGCCTTCCAAGTAGCTGGGATCAGAGGCATGCAGCACTGTGCTGGACTTCAGGTTTCATGTWATAACTGGAAGTTTTGAATGGGGGAAGCTGTCATAAATATGAACAGTAGAGTTCATATTTACTGAGCATTTCCTATTTCTGTGTGCTTTACCAGGGTTATGCTGTCTRGTCCTCATCAGAGCCCTACGAGGTTAGCCTTGTTTTTGCATTTGAGAAAACTAGAGGTTGGAGAGTTTTAAATCATTTGGTCCCAAGATTAAAGAGCTGTAAAATGGAAGATCTGGGATTCGAACATATGTCTGTCTTATACCATACATCCTTTCTAAGTTATTTTACTCCGGCCCCTATGAGTCATAACCTGGCCTCCTAGAATATGTAATTTTTTTTATTTTAGAAAATTCAGACATACATTACTTTTGGCCTAACTAATAAAAGTATTTAAAGACTTGATTTTTACCAAATGAATAGAACTTATCCTCCAGACGACCCACTCCTTCTCCCTCATCATTTTAGAAAGGACCTTTGAAGCAAACTGGGTTATTTGCAGTTATTTTGGTAAAATGTGATTCATAACAATGACTCTGCAGAAGTGTGTGAAAATGATTTGCCTGGAATGGAAAGGATAGATCCTAATCTTAAAATTGAATTTGAAATTATGGATTTGATTTTTCTTGCTTTGCCTCACTGTACTCTTTGGCTGGCTAAGTATGTAAAATTCAGTACTTTCTATCTCTTTGTTGTAGATCATTTTGAATTCAATGCATAAGTACCAGCCAAGGGTACACATCATTAAGAAGAAAGACCACACGGCCTCCTTGCTCAACTTGAAGTCTGAAGAATTCAGAACATTCATCTTTCCCGAGACAGTTTTTACAGCAGTCACAGCCTACCAGAATCAGCTGGTGAGTGCACAGTGCACAATTTAGCTTCTGCAGAGGGTAAGGACTTAGGACACTTCAGTTGCCAGCCCTCAGAATGGTTGTTTACTTAGGATAAAGCTACTGAATGGCAGCCCTAGGCCCTCTAGGGGTGTGATGAGTGGCTGTATATGACATCATTTTACTTTCTAGAATCTTCAGATTCCGAGTCAGTTGTTCATTGCCCACTCTCTGCCCCAATCTGCCTTCTCAAATTTTCTTTTTAAATATTTTTTTAGTTATAGATGGACTTTTTAAAAAAATTTATACGTGGTGCTGAGAATCGAACTCAGTGCCTCAGACATGCTATGCAACTTCTCTACCACTGGGCTATAACCCTAGCCCTACTTTTTCATATGATCTTTTCTAGAAGATTATCTGCTTCTTTTTTCTCTACCTCCTGTCAACATGTACAACCCTGTCCTTGTTGCTCCATAAAATTTAAAAGTTCAGTTTCTCTGATTAATTAAACACACATCTTCTTGTCAACTGTCCAAACTACTGATACTTCAGATATCTTGTGAGGTTGGCTCAATTGTAATTTAGAATGATTCTAGTAAAATTATTTTAAATGTTTCTTTAAATAATAAACTGCAGTATGTAAACGGTTATGCATTTAATTAACATCAAGATATTTAATTTATATTCTTGATATTACATTTCAAATTTGTGCATTTTATTTGTCCATAAAGTTTATTCCAACATAGTAAATATTTATCAAGGTCCCAGTAAGGGCCTAGCACTGTTAGATACATTTTCTTCTTTTGTGGTCAGCATGAGCTCAAGAGRCTTACAGTAATAGTAACAATCTACAGGTGAGGAAGTTGAGCGAAGAGGTAAGTGACTTCTGTAGTTCAGAAACACCAGAATTCAAATTCCTTTGGATATTCTTCAGTAAAAGGGGCTCAAGCTCTCAGTGTACTTCCCGATTCAGTTGTTCATAGCCTGGTTTCGTATCTTGCTTTTATTTGATTAGTTGTGGGTAGTCAGGACAGTTGCTCTCCTCTTGTGGTATTCTTGAGCTTTAGTTTCTGAGTGAATAACGACGAGGTACTGCCTGATAGATGGCTCAGAGTCCATCATAGGTTGACCAAGCAGAGGGAATATGGTATAGGCTCTTAGGAAAAGCAAGATAAAGCCTAGAGCACAGGTAGCCCATTGCTCATGAAGGAATGGAAGCCCAGGAAAGGGATGTGGGCAAATTGCCAGAGTGGGTATGTAATGCTTGAGGACCTACAATTCCTGTATGACTTTTGAGTAGGCTTTATTTCACCACTGTGGCTGCCATTTTCCTTACTGATAAGTTAGGGCTAAGAACTGACCAGACCATCTTAAGGGACTGCCATGAAGATTCAGTGAAAGCAAACATGCCTTTGGACGGTGTCAAGCTGGACTATCTCAGGCATGTCAAACGAGAATTTGTCATTGTTTGAATTTTAAATTTAACGATGTCTTTTCTCAATGAGATAAATGAGGGCATCGTTGTTATCCTGTGAGTCATCTTATTGCAGAAACAAAACAAAGTATTTTACCTTTCACATTTTCTCCAAAATGACAACACAAGAAGAGAACCTTTCAGAGAATGCCCAGCTAAAACAATGTGTACTGCCTGAAGTCCACAAAAGCCAAAAACCCTAATGCTTGTTGCCCTGAAAATCTGGAATTTTGAAACCAGTAGTCCCATTTTTAATTTACTTGAAGGCACATGGAATGCAGATATCATAGATTCAGAAGAAGTTTGGGAAACATTCAATTCATTTTTATACTAACTGAATTTAAAACCTTGATAATACAAATATCAGATTTACAAAAATTTAAGAAGCCCTGTTGATGTTTCAGAATGAAGTAAACACTTGTCACTTGGACATTTCAATACTTTTATCTGAATTCTTTGTAAAAAGGGCAAAAAATTAGTAATTGTTTTTAGTGAAAATTATAGAGACAGATCAAAAACTAAAGGAAGTTTCTATATATAATGCATTAAATTTAGTTTAGCAGGTAACAGAGCAATCATGAATAAATATAGGTAGGACTTTTCATAGTACACTGAAATAGGAGCATATTATATATAATAATAATTTCAGTACTTACTATGCACAAAACACTGTTTGAAGGGTATTTTATTTTTTACTTTTCACAGTGATATTATGAGATAGGAACAACAAAAGAGAAATTATTAAAAGAGAATTTTGAGGGCTGGGGATGTGGCTCAGGGCGCTGGGTTCAATCCTCATCACCACATAAAAAATAAAAAAATAAAGATGTTGTGTCCACCAAAAACTGAAAAAATAAATATTAAAAAATTCTCTCTCTTTCTTCTCTCTCTCTTTAAAAAAAGAKAATTTTGACCAATTTTTAAGCAAAATTTGTATTCTGCATTATACAGTTGTTAAAATCGAGGCAGAAGTTAAAAAAGTCACCCAGAGTGATCTTACTGCTCCCATCACAGATTTAAATCCAGGTGGTTACATTTGAGAATTGTTTTTAACCTTCAACGTGTAGGTGCCTACTGTTCAGAACTCATCTTCTCTCTACTTTTGACCCTTATATGCTGAGACATCCTTTTTTTTTTTTTAAATAGGGTTTCATCTCTTTATGCTCTTTTTTTTTCTCCTCCAAAAATACTCACTGCTCATCTGCTGTGTGAAGGGTTCCATTCACACTACAAATTATTGAGTGTAACTGGAGGGTCACCATCCTCAACTGGAGGTCAGAAGATATACTAGTGTTAGCTGTAACTAATAGGAGCTATATGCTTTAATGTCATATTATCTCATATAATTATTTTTCCACTAAACTTTTTACTTAGAAATTTTCAAATAAGCAAGGAAAAATGTAGTGAATGTACCCTCCTTTTAGATTCAACAACTGACATTTTTCCAAATTTGCTTCATCTCTTCCTTCTCTCTCCTATTTGTATACATACTTTCCCTTTCCCTGAATTACTTGAAACTGATATGCAACATCATGACATTTTATTACTAAAGACTTCTACAAGTGTATCCTGACAATAAGGATATTTTTATGACCATAATATCTTTATCAATTAATAAGAATTATTCATTAATGTCATCTAATATTCAGTTCATTTAAAATTTTTAGGGTAGACCAATATGTGTTTGGTAATTTTTTTCTCTCTCTCTTCACTAGGCTCTAACTCAAGTTCGTAGTTTGGATTTATTATTTCAAATTTAGAAAAACCTTTCCACATTTTTTTCTTAATCTATTTAATTCTGACAGTTATCCCTAAAGGAAGCTCTATGAGCATCATTTTGTAGATAAAAAAAACTGAGGTTCAGAGTGGTTAAGTCACTCGCCCAAGGCCACAGTTTTGATAAACAACACGGTCCATCCTGAGGTTTTGATCTTCCAGGTTTTAATTCTTCCCTTTTGGTGGCATTATGGTGTGTTTCAAGGCCAAGGATATGACCACTGCCTGTGTCAAAGGTTTGAGAAGTGAGTTTGAACATGTTACTAAGTTAAAATAGGTTAAGATAATAATTAACGCTGACTCCAACACTAATTGCTTCTCTTGCTAATGTTTTATTTCTAATTGATACTATAAATGGACTTAAAATCCAGCCACAAGAATCCCACTATCCTTTATTGCATCGTAAAGTATAAAGATTAATATGATTAGTATGTCATTTCATTGCTGAATAACCCACAATGGAAGCATGTGAATTCAGAATTAACTTCCTCAGCAGACCCTTTTGTGCCTTAGTTTATTTCTGTGCATTTGCCTTTAAAACCACCATCTTTAGTATAAACCCTTTTATAAATGTGAAATTCAGTTAATAGTCCAAAACTTGATTTTATATACTGATAGGCCAGTTTTGCAAATGGTTTATAAATCTCAGAAGATGAATCAAAATTCCTAAAGCAGATGCTTAAAAACATGTGGAATGAATAAATCAGTTTGARGGGTTTAGCATTTTTACTAGTTTTATGACAGTTTCTAAAGTTTTACTTAATTCTTTCTAGGTCTCTGTATATCAACAGCTTCTTCAGTGTTAGGCTGTTTATGCACTGTTTTCCTTACAGTAAACATATGCTACAATAAGTGTATAAGATATAAACAAAGTAAATATATACTGTGTATAGCATAAATATTAAAATTTTTTCATGAGTGAAGAAGAAGGAAGTAAGTAAGAAAAAAGAGGAGAGGATTTGAAAGTTGATATTTAGGACCACTTTTTATCTTGAATTTTGGATAAGACCATTCTTTTTATTTCTATTCAAATCCAAATCAAAGTTTTCAGTAGAATTTGTGGGGAAAAAAAGCTTCTCATTTATTATGGCTGGTGGTTTTATTTATAAGTAATGAAAATCAAAACTTTTTTTTTTTTTGCTACTCCTTTCTCCTTTCTTTGCAAGGGAATGATTGCATTTCTGTACATTATTAGATAAAAGCTAAATACATTACACTTTCAACAAACTGTTTTATAATTTAAAATTTAAAGGTCATGCATTGCTTTTGAGCAGGCAGATCATTGCCTTAGAGTTGAAGTGTAGGTCAGGTTTCATTTTTAAATGCCTTTGGTCAGATCTTTTCCTGATAATTGGAGAAATGGTCTCTGAGGGCCAGTTTCACCTTGTCACTGGGAACCCCAGATTAGGTTCAGAGTCCTGTGATATCACTGGGAATCAGGACACTGCAAAAGCTTCCTTTTGACAAATGGTGGTGTCAAAAATCTGCCCTCCAATGATGACATATATATTTGCAGATAATATAGATTTTAAAAGAGTAAATTTTCTCCAAAAGAATTTTATTATGYTCTATATTGTGGAAATCATACATACAAAATAAAAGCAGCATTGTATTTTGACTTGAATTAGTCATACACACTCTACACTGTAGGCGCTCTTAAGCAATTACAATTACTTTATGTTCTTTTCACCAAGTAAGAAACATGGCTTCCTTTAAAAATTGATTTTGAATGATAAAGAAGCCATAGCCCTGGTTTCTCTATAAGTGATGTTTCGTAGTTGATCCTTTTTTGATTCTTCTTTTTTTAAATCTTTGACAAGGGTGATCTTGTCCCATGGCACACCTCAGGCTTCCTGTATTAGAGCATGAGTGAAATGATGTCCAGCTGCAGCCGGGACTATAGTTCAGCTCTTCTCTCTGACCAACTCTCAAGTGCGCTGCTTTTTCAGTTTTCCCAGATTTCAGAAAGGGATGTAAAACTACACCTCCTGAAGTGAAAATCTGYCTGTATAACTACTGGCTTTTATTTAAATAGTGAGGAAGGGAATCTCTCTCTGATCTCTTAACATGTGGTTACCTAGAATGTTAAAATTTTACTATTTAAAAATCATTTTATCTTAAAAATTAGAAAATGAAATAAAATGCTTTTAAGTAAATTTACAGTTTTAGTTAGTCTGTAACTAGTAAAAGGATGAAATCATATTTCCGGCTGCTTGTTGTTGAAGTAAAGCATAACATACATTTTGAGTCTATTAGTGTGGACACCCAGGTAAATTCAGCCATCTAGCTTTATTATAGTGAGTGTGATGGGCTCACTGAGAAGTTGAACCCAGGTCCCTGTGCTGCCAATTAATACTCCAGAAAAAAAAATTTAAGGATGTAGTATCAACCAAGAGTTCCTATACAATTTTAATGATAATAGATTTTTCCCCTCTAATATATAAAAGGAATTATGTTCTCCAGAATTAGACAAAGTGGTCCATAGAAAATGTAAACACCTGGTAATTGTCTCGAAGTCTTTTTTCTAATAATATCAAAATGTAGAAGAAAAAGTTACCATTGATAGTTCTGGATTATGAAAACTGGGTTTAAGAAATATTGAAGTAGAGAATTCTAATAATAAAAGAAAATTCAAAAAAATTTGAAAACTCACAYTAAATTTAATTCAGTTCTTTGCTCAAAGCTGTGGCAGTAACATAAAGGGAGACAGTGAACAATACATTTTTAGAGTACATATTCTATATGGTGTTAGGGACTGAAGGTTTTAAGATCACTCCACACTCATCACATTCTGACACATTAATCTTTATTTTTGGAAATATGAACAAGACCAAATATATTTTGATATCTTTTTTCAGGGACAAAAATATTTAGAAATTATAAAAGATAGATAATTCCTTCTGTCCTTTTAGTTTACACTGGGATTTAAAAAAGCTTTCCATGGTTCACATTTAAGAACATCTGTAAAAGAATTTCTTACAATATGAGCTTTTCTATCTGATTTCTTATCTGCTATTATCTCTAGAACATTTAAYCACTGGAAAATCCATTCATTTTTTTTTKCTTTTATAAACATGCTACTTGAAGGAAAGCTCACCTTTTTTATTCTGTCCTGTTGTTTTGGCTTGAAATTTTCATCTGGGTTTGATTCATCCTTAAGGTGACTAACCATGCAGGGACATGGTGCCACCTTTCAGTTCCAGTTAGCAGTGCATCTCTCTGCCTGCACCAAGAGACCATGTGTTCTTTATTTATGAACTATTCAACATCTAGCACTGTACATGCAAAGTAACCCTCATCAAGTAGTTGTTGATGAATTATTGCAAAAATATTTTCATGAACTATAGAACACCTTAGAAATATAAAATATTTTAAATTATAATTGTTCAGTAGACCAACCTAGATGCCATTCAATAGATGAATGGATAAAAAATGTGGCATATGTACCCAATGGAATATACTGAGCAAKAAAAGAGAATAAAATCATGGCATTTGCAGGTAAATGGATGGAGTTAAAGAAGATAATGCTAAGTGAAGTTAGCCAATCCCAAAAAAACAAATGTCAAAAGTTTTCTCTGATATAAGGATCCGTAGCGGGGTAGGGATAGGGAGCATGGGAGAAATAGACAAACTCAAGATAGGGCAGAGTGGTGGGAGGGGAAAAGGGAGCATAGGTTTAGAAATGATGGTGGAAAGTGATGGACATCATTATCCAAAGTACATGTATGAAGACACGAATTGGTGTGAATGTACTTTGAATACAACCAGACATGAAAAATTGTGCTCTATATATGTAATAAGAATTGAAATGCATTCCACTGTCAAATATAAATAAAAAATAATTTTAAAAGATCAAAAAAATAATAATTGTTCAGTAGAAAGAGACATAGCTCTTGCCTTTGAGGATTTTAAAATCTTGTTGATACTTAGAATCSTAGAATACATTGATAGTGTGAGTATTAGGAGATATTTATGATTTATTTCAAACAAACAAAAATTTTTTCCTTCCTGAAAAATCAACCTTCAAAAATAAAGTTCTAGTCCGCATGAACAAATGGCTGGAGCTGACAACTCTTTAGTAAATGTTAGTTATGTATGAGAAAAGGTTCTCTACTAGCTTTTGATGGCATGTTATAGAGGCAACCTCAGGTGACCTGTATATTATTTGTGTATATCCTCTAAGTAGATGTTGTTCTCCATTGTCRTCAGGTTGTTTATTTATCTTGCTTATTTTCTTCCCTATTTACCAATTTCCATAACTAAGTAAGAAGGAAATTAGTTACTTTCTTTTGGTGCTCTACAGTGGATGTTCATGAACTAAAGATAAATATTTCTGAGAAACTTAAAGCCCTTAAAGGTTATTACCACAAACCCCATCTTGTGGCTTCCTAGTGTAATGGATAGAATAGAGCTGTCCATCTGGTGGGAATTGTGCAGGAGAGCTTCCATCTTTTTTTTTTTAATATTTTTGAGTTGTCAATCAATCTTTTATTTATTTATATGCAATGCTGAGGATTGAACCCAGGGCCTCACACAAGCCAAGCAAGTGCTCTACCACTGAGCTATGACTCCAGCCCCAAGAGCTTCCATCTTAAGGGAGATGAAGAGCTTGTGTGCARTTTTGCAAGTTTAGCTCACATTAAGAAAACTAGAAAAAAAACCCATCTTTTTTAGTGAGAAAATAAATTATGTGTTAATGATTTGAAGGGAACTGTGGATATACTTTAATTAGAAAAAGTTACACTTGGCAACATATTATTTCACACTCCCTATTCTAGTTGTTATTCCTTATTTTGAAGGAAAAGGACATTTTTCAATCCATGACTACCTTCCCTGTAAGAATATTTTGTATGTGTTTTCCTTCAAAGATTAASATGGGGTCTAATTTTGATGCTGGTGAACTGTGTCTCTCTTGGTAGGTTTCCTCTGTTCTAATTCAGTTACTKACCAGCTGTATCTTGGTCCTTACACCTTTGTGCCTCAGTGGAACCATATATCAGAGGAGGGCATGGGTTCAATGCTCTCTGAGGTTCCTTTCAGCTCTGATAGCAATTTTCCATGTCAAGTATCTTTTAATTAGTATCTCATCTATTTTTTGCTTCACAACCTAATGTATTTTTCATTGGAGACATGGTACATATGATTTAATGGATCTTTCTACTTTAATGTTAGTATTATAAGAATTATAAATACTGTTGGGTATGACATCACATGCCTGTCTTTCCAGTGGCCCAGGACACTGAGGTAGAAGGATTCCAAGTTTTCTCCTTATCTTCAACAGGAGAAACGTCAGCAACTTAGAGAGACCCCACCTCAAAAATAAATCATAATGACTAGGGATRTAGCTCTGTGGTATAAGCACCCCTGGTTTCAATCTCCAATACAAAAAAAATTATAAATTCTTTGGCATAGACACTTAATACTGAAGACTGCAACTCTTATTAGAAAGTATTGCTTTCCATATAAGCATAGAGTTCTATAAATAACTTTGTATGGAAGATAACAAAAAATGGACTAATTTGATTCTAATTTAGTCAAGAGGAAAGAGGGAGGGGGTACACTTATATTCTGAAGACTTTATAACATGTATTTATGCTGTGTAATTAATATAGTGTTGAACATGAGGCTATGATTAGCCATTTAATTTTTTTATTTATTATGACATATGTACATGCTGATAGTATTAACAAAATMTGTTGCCAAATCAGAGTGAGTTTGCAGTTTTGCTTTTATTCCCCATTTCCCACCAATGCTGGAATTGTACACAGCTCTCCCACTTAGGGAGCTGCCCCTTCTGCAGTTGAATTCTAGCCTTTCACTATTCTCTTAAATGATTCAAACTCCAGTTTATGTCTACCCTTGCTGCAAGGCCCTCAAATCTAATTATGTTTATCTTGGCCATGATCCATTCCTTCTGTGAACTTGTCTAACACTGAAACCCTGCTTACGATTTGAGAGACATTATGATATTCTTGGGGTGCTATGAAAAGTGAACAAACTTTCTGATTTTCCCTCCTTGAGCACAGAAATGAGATTATTTTGTACCCATTCTTTTTTTTTTCCAGATAACCAAGCTGAAAATAGATAGCAATCCCTTTGCCAAAGGTTTCCGGGACTCCTCCAGGCTCACTGACATTGAGAGGTAATGAGAATTCTCTGTTTACTTTTTTGTCCAGATAAGATAAAGAGAAGAGTGAGTTTGTAAGAACACATGCCTTTCGACGCCAAGGAACCATAACCTTTCTGCATATAGTCTCCAGTTCTTTGCACCCTTTCCTTCCAGTTGTAAACCCCACAGATATTCAGTTCTTAAGTTTTGACAGCTGCTGCAACTGGATCTATCATATGCTCAGTTTGAGTAAGGAGATGCTTTGGTTGGGGCACTCATTTCACTGTGAAAAATAGGACTTTGTTGTTATCAAAGTCTTAGTCCTCTTGATAGTATTAAGTTTCRTGTTTTGAGGAGTGACAGTCTGCATAAAAATGAAAACTTGATAGCCTTTTGCCTTCTGAAGTGGATGTATTTGCTGACACCAAGAGTATAAGGTTAATTTGGAAGTTTGAAACAAGGAAATGTAATTTAATTTAAGGTTACATGATTTTACCTATAGAGTAGATGTCTTATCTTCAACAGGAGAAATGTCAGATCTCAGGACCTGTATGAAGACAAGCAATAGTCATGTACCTATAACTTAGCTTACTTCTTCTCAATTAAAATGGTTCATGCAGTTTGAGACCATCTAGGTCATGGGTAATGACTATATCGAGATTCATAGTTTGCCCAATATGAATGTCAAAAAATATATTTCCCAAAGAAACTTCTAACCATATCAGTTATTTGTATTTCTTCAACACACTGTCTCCCTATATTTAATTTTTTACGTGACTGATGTCTGTGTTGACAAGGTGAGTACCTTAGATCCCAGCCCTTTGGTTTACTTGTGTCTCCATATCTTTGTGTGATTTCTTCACCAACTCCTATACATTTCTGCCACACTCTTTGTTACCCACCACATAGCCACATCTGACCYCAGCACTTCTGCCCAATTTCTCTTGGCAACTCATATTAAAGGATAAGGATGTCTGATTCTTCTTGCACCTTCCCAAGTGTCAGAGAAATGGGGAAGTGGTTTGGATGGGGAGAAGAAATACAGAGACTCAGTTTGGAGGCAGAGGATCAAGCAGGACTGGCTGAACATTGGATTCAAACTGTGGAATTTGAATCAAAAAGAAAGATTAATTAGTTGGAGAGTTTCACAAGTGGTAGGGGGTGGAAAGGTCAGGGTAGGATACTTGGGCTTATGGTTGCAAATCCACTGCAAAATGCAGAGAAAAGACAGGGGGTAATTCTCCAGGTAGGTGAATAAGTCAGTGAGAATGTTGTAACCAGTGTGGGTAAGAAAGGAGTTTACTTACAAAGCCTTCTTTATTTATGTGTGACTTTTCCAATTCCTCCTTCTGAGGGCCAGAAACTCGGATGCAGATGAGTTTGTGCAGCTGGAATGATTTTAAGTGAATTTTTCTTCAGTTTTATATGGGTTTCAAGTATGAATACCAACAATGACTCAGTGGTGCAGTAGTAATATATTTCCAGTGTGTATGTACTGTCATATCTCCTGTCTCAGATCAGGGGGTAAGCATGATATATTGGGAGAAAACCGTCATGGGGTAGGGTTGCAGCTCTGCCTTTTCCTAGGAGAATGATCCTGGAAAAGTCACTGAATCAAAGTCTCTTTCCTAATCCAGAAAATGGACACAATAATCTTGCTCACTTTGAAGGTTTATTGGAGAATCAAGTAAGAGGACATGTATGGAAGCACTTTATAAAATATAAAAATGCAAAATAATTGCAAGCTTCTCATTGCATTAGGTGGGCATTGCCTCTCACAACTTGTCCACCATCTAAGGCTACTTTTAATGGTCTCAATGAACTACTCTTAGAGTAAAAATAACCTTGTAGTCACACATRTGCTCATGAGATAGGCGTACACAGTCTGACTGCCCTTTAGAGCAGCAGATTTGATAATACACGTGGCCACATTTTCCACTTATTGAATAAGCATCCTGATGTGAGAGCACTCACGTGTATGTGAAGCTAAGTAGTTTTCAATGGTCTGAGGGCCAAGAGAGCACTCTTACGTGACTAGCTGAAAGTTTGCAAGATGACCTAAGTAGTGTGAAATTGGCCAAGGTTTTGGATTTCATTTCCAGGTAGTTAAGTCTGAATTTTTCCTAAACAGCCTTTGGGGATGGGACAAATCAGATCAATTGATCTTTAGAGACCTACAGAAATTAAATTAGTCTGGAGTCAGTTACTGCACTAAACCATCTAGTAATTGAATTGCTTCTTGTAACTGATTGAAAACAGCCCCATCTGTAACAATATTGGGAGCTTTTCTTCATAAGAGATCTGAGAGAAAAACACATCTTTTTATGACATGATGACAGATATTGCACTTTTCTAACCTAATTGAATATGATGTTATGAATATGTGACCTTAATGATTTCAAGTTTCCTGTTCGAGATTTACAACTTACTGTGTAGGACAACCGAACAAAAATGCCTTTAGGATCTGATCTGTTTGTCTATACCTTGAAACTCTGTTATTATTCCTTTTGTAACTGCACTAGCTTCGTTACTATTAAGGCATTAGGTTTTTCTAGGTTTAATTTTACTACATTGTGTTTGAAGAGTGGAATGTCTCACGTCATGTATAATCTTACTTTTCAGGGACAACATCTTCCTCGCTTGTAAAAGAAAACCAATCTTGTTATCAAAAATAGAAAGTATATCCACTATGGACAGCTAAGAAGCGGTCTAAAAAGCCCAAAGGGATATCTTAATGTAATCTAATTTCTAGTTATTTAGATCAGAAAAAGAATTACCTACTGGTTCCGTATGATAAATAACTACAGACAGTCTGCCAGTTGGCATTTTCTTTTTTGCTTTAGGCAGAGGGTACATTGTGCACTACACAAAGGCACAGTATTCCACCTGAGAAAGGAAAAATATCTGAGAATTTTTTTTTAAGAAAATGATTTCTTCAGAAATGTTTGTTTTATTAATTTTTCCCTTTTACCAAAAGAGCTCATGCTCATAAAAAAAAAAAAAAAAAAAAAAACAAAAAAAAACCAACCAAACAAACAAACAAAAAACCTAGAAAATAATGACAAGGAAGAAAAAGCATAAAAATAATGAGAATCCCATTCAATTAGAAATAACCACTGGCAAACCCTGTTATCTGTTCATTCTTTCAAGTGCTGCTCTCTGCATGTACAGAACATTATTTCCTTTAAAATTTGTCATGCTGCACAAACTATTTTAACTCTCTATTTACCTAATAATCTATACCTATGACACACTTTTTAATGGCTGCCTATGTTTTCATTATGTACCATTATTTATTTGACTAATCCAATGTGTTGGCTACTTAAGTTCTTTATTATTATTTTGTTTTGCCATTACAAGTATGTCAGGAGGAAAATGATTTTTTWAAATACATATTCTTAATTATGACTCACATAATTTTTGTGGGTAGGACAAATACCCACAAGTAAAAATGCTGGGTCATGGCTTATACTTTCTTTTCTTTTTATTGTAGTGCTATTTTTAATGTAAAAAATTGGGGGGTAAGAACATAATGTTCAATAGCATAATAATGGTTTTTAATGAACTTTATAATCATGGAAATTTTAAAAATAGTGGAAAATATACATAAAAAAATTACCATTTAACAGTTTTTAACTGTGCCATTCCATGACATTAATTATGTTCATGATGTTAGGCTGCCATCACCTCTATCCATTTCCAGAATGTTTTTACCATTTCATCCTAATAGACACTCTGTACCCATTAAAATAACTCCCCATTCCTTTTACCTCCAACACTTAGTAATTTCCACTCCACTTTYTGTCTCTGAATTTTCCTGGGGTAGGTACCTCATATAAGTGGAAAGATACACATGTTTTCAATCAATTCAAGCTTCCTTTCAGAAAGACTGTATTAACTGCCCACTACCCTGCACTCTTGTCAAACATGATCATCATCTTTTAATCTTTGCCAGTATGATAGGTGAAAATTTGAGTTTTCTTTTGGAAATTGGCCCATTTATTTCTTGAGCTCAGTTTTTTTCCTTTTTGATTGCTCACCTTCTTCTTTTATTTATCTGTATAAGGTATTTATGTATCAAGAGTGTACATATTTATTGTTCCTATATGTTGGAATCATTTTACCAGTTTGAAAAGTTATGTTTTTGAGAAATAAAAGATTTTATTACAAAATTTATCATTCTCTTTATGATTTTTGCCCTAGGAAGACTTTCTTCACTCCAAAATTACATGAATATTCAACTATAGATTTTCTATCACTTTATTTTTTTAATTTTCCACTTAAATCTTTAATTCATGTGTTATTTATTTTGGTATAAGATATAAAATAGACATATTACCTGCTTTATTTTTTAACAAGTAGCCCTAATATCATATATTTACTAATATATTTATTTTCTACTTATTTATAATTCTCCCTTCATGAATTCCAGATTCTTATCTGTATTTTTTAGTTTATTACACTGTTATAATTTTCATAAATTGATAGCAGTTGATGATACCTAAATAACTGAGATTTCAAATCTGTTCTTTTTACTTGTCATTTTTTAGATCTTCTTTATCTTCTTAATGTTTATGCTTCTAGTATTTAGAATCATTTTGTTAAGTCCTCTAAAAAATCTTGGAACTTTAATTGACTTAGATATTGAGACTTCCATTTTAGAAGTATGTCATATATTTGTTCTTCCATTGTAATCTCCTCCTATGTTCTAAGAAGTTTTGGCATTTTCAAGTTTGTAAGTCTTGTATGTATTTTCCTAGGCACATACTTGTCCAATACAATAGCTATTGGTCACAGGTAGCTGGTGAGTACTTAAAATAATCCTTATTGAGATGTGCTTTAGATGTAAAACATAAACAAAAAACTATGGCCCAAGGGAACAATCCTCTTTCCCCCCATTCAAAAAAAATAAAAATAAAATAAAACAAATCTGGACTGGATTTTTAAGACTCAGTATAAAAATAAGAATGAAAAGTTCTCATGAACAGTTTTAAAATACTGATTAATACTGAAGGATATCTTGATTTGGTTAA